AGGCGAAGCCTCTCACGCAGCCACACTTGCCTCTGGAGCGGGGCCGTGCCGCGGTGGGGGGCGGGATGGGGCTCCTGGGGGTCTTGAACAAGACCTGTCACTGCTCCGAGGCGGAGGTTGTGACTTGCAGCTGGTGACACCGACCCTCGCTGTTGTCCCGAGGGACTGGGAAAGCTCAATGAGGTCTTTGCCCAGGTTTGTCAGGCTGAGGGAGCTCCAGGGAGGGTGCTGTGGGATGGCACTCGCCCTCCTTGGTGTTTGGAAACCGGTTTTCTCTGCTGGGGTGCTCTGTAATCCTCCTTTAAGTTTGGTGCCTTCCCCCTCCCGAGGTTCCCTCGTGGCTCCGAGCGGGAAGCCCGCAGTTTCCCAGAGGTCTGTACGTGTTTACAGCTCGCAGGGAAGAGATGTCCTTGCCAAGGAGCTCCTTGCTGGGGCTGCAGATGTGGCCGAGCTCCGGCGAGAGCCGAGCCCGGAGCAGCAGCGCTGCCGTGTTCCTGCTGCTCAGTGCCCGGCGCAGCCTCACGGTGCCCGCGGTGCCCGGTCCCTGCCCCGAGCGTGTCGCTGCAGCCTCGGCTCCCTCGCCCGGTGCCGGGGCAGCCTGGTGAGGAAGGACTGTGTGGTGGGTCAGGTCACCCCTTCACTTCGGGTCCCGGCTCCAATAGCACGGAATTCTCAGGAAAATACTGAATTCCTGCCGTGTGGCTGAGTGAGGGCTCATGAAGTCACGTTTCTGAGATAAATCACTGAGGGCTGGACTCAGCATCCCACCTTTGCAGCACGTGCAGGTGCCAGGCAGCCCCCCTAGGCTTTTTTTTTTGGGGAAGTCTGAGTTGAAGAGCATCCATAAAGCATCCAGAGGGACACCGGGCTGTTTGCCTGGGCTGGGAAGGGCAGCGTTTCCAAATGCACCACTTGAAACGGCTGCAGGAAATTCTTTTGAGGCCGAAGGCAGGGAAAGGAAAGGGCCGGGCCCTGGGGAAGGCTGCCCATGGCACAGCCCAGCCCTTGGGCATGCCCCCCCGGCACACGGGCACTGCGCAGGGGACCACAGGGACACACAGCCTGGCACAGGGGTGGCTCCTGCCCCATTCGACGGGCAGGGCTGTGCAGCCCCAGGGCCACAACCCAAGTCAGGGCTCTGGGCTTGTGCTCCAGCCCGAGAGCCCCCTCCCATGATGGCCAGCATCCCCCAGCAGCGTGGGCAGGGGAAGGAGAGGGGCTGGAGTGGGATCCCTTGCTCCCCCGTGGAGCTGCCTGGCTGGGGGGGGACTTTTGGAGCAGACCCTCTTCTCAGACCTTGCTCAGAGATGTTTGCTGCTGGGTTTTCCTTCTCCTGCAGCAGGGGGCTGTGAGCATCCAGGGGAGGCATCACCAGGGGTGCAGGCAGCTGCCAGCACCCCCGGGGGGCTCAGGTGCTGCCTGCACCGCTGCCAGGGTTACCTGCCCACACGCAGCAGGTGGGGGCCCCGTGGCACGTCCCACATGGCTGTCACCTGAGCTGGCCATGGCCACCGAGAGCAGCCTCCAGCCCCTCTCCTGGCATGCCAGCAGCACAGAAATGTCCCTTCTCCCAGGTGCATTTTGGGGTCTCCAGGGATATCAGGGGAGTCGGGGCCATCGGATGATGGTGGGCCCTGCAGGACCCTGCTGAATGTGGGGGGGTTCCCCCTCGGGGCCCGTGTCAGTGTGCGTGGCTGTGGGCACGCTGGGCACTTGTGCAGGCAGGAGGGCATCCAAGCCGGTCAGGGCATTTAATTTTCATCCAAGGAAGAATTTTGATGGCTTTTTTGCAGTTTGTTTGTTGGCTGGCTTTTTTGAGTCTCTCTCCCTTTTTTTTTTTTTTTTTTAAGGAAGGTGAAAGCTTTCAAGGGTATCAACACTTTTCTTGCCAAAAAATAATGCAACCCAAGCCAGAACAGCCTGACCGACAAAAAAAGATTAATATTTGAGTTTCCAGTTTCTCAGAAGTAAAAAGCCCCAAATGGTGTCAGAAATGGATATGTTCTCTCAGGCACTTTAATTAAAATAAATCCAACCAGGACGTTCCTTAGCAGGGTCACCTCTGTGTTGAATCTTCCCCCACGAAGGGGTCTGGCTGCATCTGACGTAGGGGCTTGATGTTTGTGTGGTCAGATGCCTCGGTGATGGGCACCTGGTGGGACCCAGAGGAGCTGTGCTGATATTGGACACTGCAGCCCCAAGGTCACAGCTGATTTTTGTCAGCCTGGAGCGTGGCCCAGGGTGGCAGAAGCCACTGGGAGCCAAGGACAGATCGTAACCGTGGTGTGCAGGTTGTGACCGTGAAACCCTTAAAACAGTGTGTCTGTCGCGTTCAGCTTTGCAGGGTAGAGATACTGTCAATGAACGGGGGGGACAGCTATTGCTAAGTGTGTGCGTGGCTGTGATTTAACCCTGAAGGCTCATCCAAGTTGTCATTTATCTTGGCTAATGGAAAGGGAAGAGGGGAGAGCTGAGGTCTGGGGGATCACTGCCCAGCAGCGCACACCGAGAGGAGCAAACCAGGCATTCCTGCAGCAAACAGGACCCCCTGCCCTGCTGGGAGGGGGCTCTGTCCCACATTGGGGTCTCTGTCCCACATTGGGGTCCCTGCTCTGCTCTGAGGGGTCTCTGTCCCGCACTGGGATCTCTGTCCTGCTCTGAGGGGTCCCTGTCCCGCACCGGGGTCTCTGTCCCACATTGGGGTCCCTGTCCTGCACTGGGGTCCCTGCCCTGCTGGGAGGGGGCTCTGCCCCGCACTGGGGTCCCTGTCCCACATTGGGGTCTCTGCCCCACATTGGAGTCTCTGCCCTGCTCTGAGGGGTCTCTGTCCTGCACTGGGGTCCCTGCCCTGCTGTTAGGGGTCCCTGTCCCACATTGGGGTCCCTGTCCCGCTCTGAGGGGTCTCTGTCCCGCACCGGGGTCCCGGTCCCAGCCCCGCAGCGGGGTGTCCCCCCGTCCCGGCGGGGCGATGTCCGGTCGCACCGGGCTCTCAGCATCCCCGGCCTGGCCCCGCGGGGGGGTGCAGCTGCCCGGGGCCGTGCCGGGCCGTGCCGAGCCGCCCACCCTCCCTCCCGCGGAGGCGGGGACGGGGAGGCCGGCGGAGCGCGGCGGCAGCGCGGTCCGTCCCGTCCCGTCCCGTCCGGTCCCGCCATGGGGGGGGCCCAGAGCCAGAAGCCGCGGGAGGAGGCCGGGACCCCCCAGCGCCGGTGAGTGCGGGCAGGGGGAGTTCCGGGGGGGTCCGGGTCTGCCCCGCAGCCCCCAGCACCGGCTCCTGCCCAACGCGCGACTGCGCACTGGGATCTCTGTCCTGCTCTGAGGGGTCCCTGTCCCGCACCGGGGTCTCTGTCCCACATTGGGGTCCCTGTCCTGCACTGGGGTCCCTGCCCTGCTGGGAGGGGGCTCTGCCCCGCACTGGGGTCCCTGTCCCACATTGGGGTCTCTGCCCCACATTGGAGTCTCTGCCCTGCTCTGAGGGGTCTCTGTCCTGCACTGGGGTCCCTGCCCTGCTGTTAGGGGTCCCTGTCCCACATTGGGGTCCCTGTCCCGCTCTGAGGGGTCTCTGTCCCGCACCGGGGTCCCGGTCCCAGCCCCGCAGCGGGGTGTCCCCCCGTCCCGGCGGGGCGATGTCCGGTCGCACCGGGCTCTCAGCATCCCCGGCCTGGCCCCGCGGGGGGGTGCAGCTGCCCGGGGCCGTGCCGGGCCGTGCCGAGCCGCCCACCCTCCCTCCCGCGGAGGCGGGG